GGTGAAAAAGGTTCATAGGATAAACAACTGTGAACAACTGCGCTACGTGGACAAAGAAGGAAAGATGATAGCATATAATAATTGAAATTATAAATGGTATAATGTCTAAAAATGACCTTGTAATGATGGTTTTGTGATTGCCCTATTTGTTTCAGATCATTACAGCAGTGATACCTGCACTTTCGCAGTCTCAGCCACCGTATCCAGTGCTTAGTCCGGTATGTAGCAACTCCACCCACCTGTACTACATATTTTTACACGGTTGTTGTTTCCATTTGCAGTTTTAATTACTTTATAGCATACATAAGGCATAGACCTGGCTTAATATATTCGTCTGCCGGTGTTTTTCTGGTCATCATTCAATTTCTTCACATTACGTTTTATCTCCGTCTTATGACGCCATGCGAGTTTGTTAAGTTTCAGTCTAATTTGCGTCATGATTAGTGAACAGGCTGGATATCCGCATAGTGACATCCCCTGACATTATAGTACACTTGTCGTGCTAGTTTATTGATGGGAAAATGTATGAATTTGCTGGTTTAGGTTGTGGCGCTGTCAATGGTGTTTTTAATTGACTTAAAGTATTTTACACCATTTTGTTTGTAGGTTTTCAGTGTGTAAGAATCTTTTTTTTAATTTGTAGGATTATGATTCCAATTTGTTGCTTAATCAGAGTTACTAAAGAACTCGAGATGAGGTCAGGACGAAGACAACTCTGTTACTTAAACTTGTGAGAGCTCTTGGGGTGCAGCTGCATGAACTTTATGTATTACGGCCCTAGAGCTCCTGTACTTTGTCACGGAGTACTGCTCCTATGTTTAGAGCTACAGCTGCTACACGTGGAAGGCAAACACGTAGCTCCGTGAACAGTGAGAATCGTAGCAGGAATCCCAGAGCCAAAACAAATATGACGGTTACCGATTTTGTCGCATATTTGACCCCCTTACCTCCGTAGGAGCGAACATGTATGTCAGACCATTGACACAAATTGTCAGTTTCCCATTCTTCGTGTCCTCCATCAGCCGCTGACATGGCGCCTGGAATCACAGCATCCGCTATGGGAACGACCAACGATGCCACGACTGAATCTCGAGGAACAGTGGCGAACGGAGTGGGACACCCCGTCTGCACACGAGAGTGACCTTATTTTCAGCCAAGCCACAGTACCCTCTGTCATAAACTTGGCTCGTCAAGAATTATCCAGGTTTAACCGGATTCAAACAGGATACGGGTACTGCTGACATCATAGGAAGATGAAGCTTAGGCTGCATGGTGACGCCATAGCGACCAGAGCATGCAGCACACTTTTCGAATGCTATAGCAGTGGCAATTCACTGGCTCAGAGATCTGGACGTTCAGTAATATAAATGCTGGTCACTTCCTCACAACCATGCGACAGATGAATACTGAAGAGATCCAATTTTCGTCAAACACAAACAAATGTTTGCGAAAAACAAAGGCAAAGATTTGACTGAAACAGATTGCACAACTGTCACAATAATAAGGTGTATTTGAGAATTATTATATTATATTAAGCATAAGGTGATGATGAATTTTGTAATAGAATGTAGGACGGCAATTTTTCCTCAACGAGTTTCAGCTCAGTTTCGATTTGTAAGCGCAGTACTAAGGCATGTTTGTCACACAGTCCACTATTGTCTTAAGAACGCGTTCCTCAGATGGCCACGGCTTGCTTATCCAAAATTTTGATATTCTCTTTTGCTATTGGGTTCCTTATGACTCTTGGAACTTTGCTGGTTTCTAAGGATTGTATGTTATTTGCTGTACCCATGAAATTTGTTAAACGTCGTTTACCGTTGTTTGTGAAGTCTGCTTTAGATCGTACCTTTTAAACAGCCCCTGACAGTCATAGACGGTCTTCAAGTGTTCATCACGGCAACGCCAACCAGCGACCCAAAATATTTTTTCGTCAATTTTTTGTCGTCGCTGACCGTCGTCTTTCACTCAAGCATCCGCTTCAACGAAAAGGTGAGAGGTAGAGCCCGAATGATGGTGCTGTCGTTCAGAATTTGGCTTTAC